TCATTCCGAGTGCTAAAATTGGACAAAACTTTATTCTGGCTGTCTAATTGGAACTTCCTGGTTATTCTTTCATGAATGCAGCTCCAGCAGACCTTCCCCGCTGACTTTGAAATGGTTTTTTTCTCCTGAGCTGCTGTTTGCAGAATAAATTGTGAAGATTAACTTAAGCAGATAAGAAGATGATCTCTGGGGGAAGCTGAGCTCCTGCTTGGAGGAGGCCACCCTGCAGTCCACTGGTAATGGCCAAATGAGGCCCTAGGTTCTGACATGATAGCAGTCTTCCAATATTTAAGGGGCTGCCACAGAGAGGAGGGGTCAAGTTATTTTCCAAGGCACCTAAAGGCCAGATAAAGAATGATGGATGGAAACTAATCAAGGAGAGAAGCAACTTAGAACTAAGGAGAAATTTCCTGACTGTGAGAACAATTAATCAGTGGAGCAACTTGCCNGTATAAATATGGAGGAAAGAAAAATGATTACAATCAATATTAATGGACTTAACTCAGCAATTAAAAGCATAATAATTTTGTCTTCTCCTGCTCCTGCTGCTTATAGATTTATACTGCCTCTTTGAAAGTTTCACATCTGCCTAGCAGTAAGCAGGTGTATAAGTCATAATTAGTGCAAATGAGTTCTATCCAGAGATTTTAAATCCACGGGAACAGAAATAACAGTATAAAAATGTAAAGGGGGTATGTAGAATTATGTTTTTCATGTCTGTAAGCTTGAGAACAATTGCAAATCAGAGGGTGAAGCATTATTTTTTCTCTCCATGCACACTAGAAGACTTCAGTGTAGTGGGGAAGGTACTGGCTTAAAAACCAGGAGACTGGGAATTCTAGTCCTGCTTTAGGCATGAAAGTTGGCTGGGTGACTTTACTTCAATCACTCTTTCTCAGCCCACCCTATCTCTGCAGGGTTGTTGTTGGGACAACAGAAGGGGGAAGAAGCATTAGGTATGTTTGCTGGGGTGAGTTAATTAGGTAGCAATGGAAGTGAGATAAAAAAATATCTACACTAAAATACATCAATCTTGTTAAATTAGGGTTTGTTGGATCTGGGCTAAAATAAACTTGGGTGACCAGTAGATGACAAGCAGAGCTAGAATTTTTGGTAACACTTTGCTGCCACCTGGACAATCATCTCAATTTTTGTACTTTGAGGCACAAAAAAAAGCTTGTGTGCATTATATGTTAACAGGCTGCAGAGGAGCCATAGAATTAGAAGACAGAATAATGGAGTTGAAAGGGACCTTGGAGGTCTTCTAGATCTATGGTAGGAGGTCCTATACTACTCCAGACAAATGGTTGTCCAATCTCATCTTAAAAGCCTCCAGTGATGGAGCATACACAACTTCTGGAGGCAAGCTGTTCCACTGGTTAATTGTTCTCACTTTTAGGAAATTTCTCCTTGGTTCTCTCTTTGTTAAGCTTCCATGCCTTCCTTCTTCTCCTGCTCTCAGGTGCTTTGGAGAACAGGTTGATCCCTTCTTCTGTGTGGGAGTCCCTTAAACATGATTGATTGATTGTTACTGAATATCAATTTGCATTTCCCCATGGTTTTAGTAATGTAATAATGATTCATGCCACACAATTTTGGAGAGATTCAATCTGGAAATAAGGAGAAACATTCTGACGGTGAGAGCAATCAACCCTTATAACAGAAGTTGCCTTCAGAAGTTGTGAGAGCTTCATTCCTGGAAGCTTTCAAGAAGAGACTGGACTGCCCTCTGTTAGAAATGTTGTATGTAAGGTCTTCTGCTTGGGTGGGGGGGGGTTGGACTAGATGACCTACAAGGTCCCTTCCAACTCTGTTAACATTGACTATGTGACTTGGGCTTGCTAGGTTACAATGGGGTTGGTTAGCTTGTGGGTCTGGTGTGTCTCCAAATGCAGCTTTATAATAAAAAGAAGCAAAGAAAGACATGTTAATTTACAAGACAAATTTATGGATGATTCTGTAAGCTTTACCTTGTAAAATGGTGTTACCAAAGAGTTAAAAAGAAATCTCTTGAAATAAGGAAAAACTTGTCAAAGTTTCCTTAGGATGATTTGAGTACTTCTGATAAGTGCTTGTAGAAGCCCAAAGAAAAAACAAATGACAGAAACTTCAAGGATTATTATTAAAATGATGCTCTTTAGATTTATTTGGTTTTCTTAAGAATAATTCATAATCTGAAAAGACCCAGGAAAGAGAACTATTAGCAGCTGCATATGAGATGCCATCTGCCTCACATAATGGGGGAGGGCATCTGTGGGGTGACAAAGGGGTTGGGATAAGGGGGAATTGAAGCCCCACATCATGTGAGAGCCTGCCGGCTGGTCCAAAATCACAGTGTGAAATGCAACACCCTTTGTCACCCTGCAAAACGACTGTTGTGGCCCTACCAGCCGAGCCAAAAATTCCAAATATGGTAGGATTGACAGAGAAGCAGAAAAAGACAATGGAGACCCATTTCAGTAGAGTGTCAAGAACATGGCAAGGGCATTTCGTGAAGTTACCAGGAGTTGAACTCCTCCTGAAAGAGATTGTGTGTTTACTTTCATAAACAGCTAAGTGATGATGGGAACACCCACTTTTTAGCAAAGTACTATTTAAAACGCCCCCTGTGGAGAAAGAGACAACAGGAAATAAACATTGTTTGAAAAGAAGAAGTCATTTTATGGGTTGTTAAACATTAATCTTATGAACCTGGAACCATTGTGAAATCTCTTACTCTGTTGTGGGCATCTAAAGCTTTGTTCAGATTCAAAATCTATTTGTGTAGAATTGTAGTGCTGGAAAGGACCTTTGAGGACTTTTAGTCCAACTCCCTGCCCAAGCAGGAGACCTTATATCATCCCAGACAAATGTGTGTCTAATATCGTCTTGAAAATCTCAGGTGATGGAGCACCCACAACTTCCAGATGCAATCCATTCCAATGATTAATTGTCGCAATTTTCAGGGAATTCATCCTTAATTCAAGGTTGGGGCTCTCTTTTGATAATCTTCCATCTACTGCTTCTTGTCCTGCCTTCTGATGCTTTGGAAAATAGGTGAACCCCTTCTTCTCCGTGACAGCCCCTCAAGACTTCTATTACATCACCCCTAAACCTTCTCTTTGTTGGGCTCTGGAGCCGCATGTGGCTCTTTCATCCCTCTGCTGCAGCTCCCTGTTGCTCAAAATATGCATCACAGCGGCCAATGTGTGACACCCGCTGGCACGTGATTTATTGGTGTTTTCAACCCCTGGTAGGCCAACCATGGATAAATCCAAGAAAGGAAAAGTTTCAGAAGAAAACATAACATTTAATTCAACTACATATGCTAGTTTTGTGGCCACTCAGGAAATAGTCAGGCACACGGAGGGTTTCTGTGGCTCCCAGTGTTTTCTTTTCTGTGGGAAATGGCTCCAAATGGCTCTTTAAGGTTGCCGACCCTTGAGCTAGACATACCTTGTTCCCTTATTCATTCCTCATACAATTTATCCTGTTTCCTCTGACTTTAGTTCATAATTGGTATTTCTAGCCCACCTATTTCCACCCTCAAATATAATTCAAACTGGGAGAACTCTGGGATCAATGCAACTTTTTGATTCTTTCTTTTTATTCAACAGTTATTAAAGTTTTCAGTCAGAATTGGCTTATTCCCAGCGTGGGTCCCCGGTGGATGATAAAGAAAGGTATCCTTTAGATCTCATAAATTGTAAGGGATTTGCAAAACGCTGCCCGTCTTCACCTGTACTGATAGAATATGCAGCCAGAAGAGGGATTTGCATTCCATTCACTCCTTGTGGCAATTTTAAAAGATTATCCTTTCGAAACTTTATTATTCATGCTCATTTGCAATAGGGGGGGAAAAAAACCACCCACCCAGAGGACACCATAGTGATGAGAATACATTTACCTGGCTAATAAGCAGGGTGTCAGGCCTGAAGTCGGTTCCTTTTAGGATCTTTGGCCTGCCACACTCTCTCTTATTTTACTATGCTGTTTCATTAGTGGGGGATTGGGAGGGAGAATAGGAAGGAGTAGAATGTGTGTTGTCAAAATAAAAAATTCCTTTCTAGAAGCCAAAGGTCATCTTTTGTCTCTGCACCTCTGCATCTGACTGGAACTGGATGGATGGAAATGCCAGCGTGGGAGTGGAAGATTGGACCATGTGATGGACTTGTAGGTGTGGGGCAATCATGAACTTTCAACTGGGTGGAAACCCAGGAAGCTTTCAGATTCGAGTTTTCCACAGATGTGCCAACATGTCTCTCTTAATAAATTGGAAGTTTGAGGAAAGCTCTGCCTTGGACTCTGATTTAATTTTGGATGATATTTGNTCCATTCCCTCCCCACTCCAGGGGAAGGATACTGCAAAATCTCTATTCCCTCCCCACTCCAAGAGAAGGATACTGCAAAATCCTCATTTCTGGAGGAAGGATACTGCAAAATCTCCATTCCCTCCCCACTCCAGGGGAAGGATAATGCAAAATTCCCATTCCTGGAGGAAGGATACTGCAAAATCTCCATTTCCATCCCACTTCAGAGGAAGGATACTGCAAAATCCCCATTTCTGGAGGAAGGATACTGCAAAATCTCCATTCCCTCCCCACTCCAGGGGAAGGATAATGCAAAATTCCCATTCCTGGGGGACGGATACTGCAAAATCTCCATTTCCATCCCACTCCAGGGGAAGGATACTACAAAATCTCCATTCTCACCCCATTCTGGAGCCAGCCAGAGGTGGTATTTGCCGGTTCTCCAAACTACTCAACATTTCTGCTACCGGTTTTCCAGACCTGTCAGAACCTGCTGGACTTCACCCCTGAATCTTACTCCTTATTTAATCCCATTTTAGCTTAATTTCCAATACCTTAAGTATCTAATATTATAACAATCCCATTGTCATTTATTTAACTCTATTAGTTATTTTAACTATGAATACATTTTTTATAGATAGCTTCTTTTGCTCTTAATTCTTATATCTATACTCTAGCACCGGTAAAAAGTTCCTTCTTTCCACGATTCACCTGTTTTCGACTTTTGTGCCCCATTCAAGGAGTTTAATGACGGCAACAGAACTATCATCCAGAAGCTCCTCATCCAGATACCACATCAAAGTCTGGAGGACAAACACAAAGAATAATCACAATGCAACATTTGAAGGTCAGTCACTCACTCTTGTTTTGGGCAAATTCACAACAAGTAAGACTACAGCAAGCTGTCTGTTTTGAAGCCATTTTGTGAGCATCTTCAAGGCTGCCACAGTGAGGCTGGGTGGAGCTGTGAGAATGTGAGGGGGGAAGTAGCTGAGGGATGTCTACTAGTGGTGGGTTCCGGATCCTGTTGCTACCAGTGGTGCAACAGAGCCCAGCATCCACCACATTAACATGCGCAGCACGCGTGCATTTGCACGCAGCATACCCATGTGTACCTATTGCCTGTGACGCTCTGTGACAATTCTGTGACGCTCCAGCTGCTTGGCAGAGCATCACACAGGCACCATATCTCCATGCGTGAGTGCAGAAGCTCCGAAGAGCTCAAATACAGGTAAGGAGTGTGGGTGGATCGGTGAGCCCTTGGGAGAACTGTACCGGTACTCAGTGCTGCCGGCAGGCACTGGTACGCCCATAACCAACTACTGATGTGTAGCCAAAATAGCATTCTTTCCCATGGGAGCCAAGGATGTTCTACCAGGTGTTGGAAGGGCTTGGTGTCCCAAAGCCAGTTGGAGTTGGGACTGCAACCTGATTGGACCGTTTGATGGACACGTGACCTGGGGGTTTGAAAACCCTGGGCCCTTCATAGTCAGCTTTTCACCAGCTGTGCCAATATGACATCCCTAATAAAATTATGCTTTGAGGAATCTCTAGGCCTCAAGAGTTTTGATTGCTTTGGGGTTATTACTTGGAACCCTGATACAAGAATTCTTTCTGCTATCTATCCATATCTACAAGTCGTGTTTATCTGCTACATGAAGTTGAAGTTGATGCATGCTCTTTCTTGGTCACCGGCAACATCTGGAATTCTGTGTCATGAAGGGAGTGACATCTTGATGAAGTACCATAGCTGTCCACTTCCCTTCCTGGTCCTCTTCTCACAGCCTTGCCATACTCAGTTCTCAGCTTACCAACTCAGTTTATGTTGTATTGCACGTTTTGTACATGTTCATTTAAATATGGAACTTTATTGCCATCGTGTCCCCACTGTTTTAGATTCTTCTAGAACAGTGATGGCTAACCTTTTTTGGATCGCATGCCAAAAGTAGGGGGAGCACAGTGGGGTGGTGCGCTGGTGCGCCCACCCCTCTAATGCTATGCACGTGACCCCAGCATGCATGTGTGCGTGACCAATGTTCTCCCCTGCTTTTGGCGTGCTTTTTTCGCCCTCCCCAAGCTCCAGAGGCTTTCTAGGAGCCTGGGGAGGGTGAAAACAGCTTCCCCCGCCCCTCATAGATGCCTTCTGGAGGCTTCAGGAGCTTCCATGAAGGCTCTGGAGCGCAAAAAACGGCCCTATGGGCAAACCGGAAGTTCGGGAATGGACTTCCGGTTTGCTCGTAGGACCACTTTTCATCCTCCGGAGCCTTCAGGGAAGCATCTGAAGGGCAAAAATTGGCCTTAAAAGAAGGTGGAAGTCAGCTGGCCGTGTGCACATGCGTGTTGGAGCTGAAAGGGCAACGCCTCATGTGCCCTAACAAATGGCTCCGCGTACTGTAGGTTCGCCCTCACAGTTCTAGAATTTATACTTTCATATTCAAGGCTATGTGGTGTTCTTCTCTTATCTCATTCCTCCTTCAGTATAAAGCACTGTGGAATGGCTTGATAAAATAAGATTTAGAAACTTGGCACTTCTTTTATATTAAAACTGCTATGTTATATTTCAAAGAATGTGCAGTTAGCGTCTTCATCCTTTGAGTGATATCATTTTTTGCTATCTTGCATTATTATTGGAAAGCAAATCTTTCTGTATTTTGGGATTTTTGCTTGCAAATGCACACCCTCACACAATGTAATCTATAATAACTGTATAATCTGGAGGCTCAGTGAAAGAGAATATGGAATTAGCCTTAACATCCCCACCCACCCTTAGGGAAGCATTAAAAATGCCAGAAAATCATAAAAATGTTTAGGAGGCTAAACAAACTGGATAATAAGGAGTCGGGATACTTACAGACAAGAAAAACTAGGAAAAGTAAGGATTAAGAACAACAGAAAGGAAGAGAAACATCAGAGTAACTATATCGTAGCTCCTTGTGGCTCTCAGAACTTGGGGGTTTTCTTGCAGACATTTCATTACCAAACTAAGTAACATCATCAGTGCTAGATATTAGTCTGCAAGAAAACCACCAAGTTTGAAGAACACCAAGTACCTCACAGTTCAACCCTCAGCTTCTAATATTCTCTTCTATCACTAAACCATGTTCTAATCTATATTTTTTTAGTCTTCATTCTCAGGGATTAAACATATACCGTAACGAATTGCCATTGGTCCTTCTATGGATGCGTTTCTACTCTCCATTATTAAGGTAAAGGTAAAAGTTTCCCTCGCACATATGTGCTAGACAGTCCTGACTCTAGGGGGTGGTGCTCATCTCCGTTTCAAAGCTGAAGTGCCAGCACTGTCCGAAGACGTCTCTGTGGTCATGTGGCCGGCAATCGCTCAACGCCGAAGGTGCATGGAACACTGTTCCCTTCCCACCAAAAGTGGTTCCTATATTTCTCTACTTGTATTTTTTTAATGTACTTTCAAACTGGTAGGTTGGCAGAAGCTGGGACAAGTAATGGGAGCTCACTCCGTTACATGGCTCTCGGGATTTGAACCGCCAAACTGCTGACCTTTCTGATTGACAAGTTCAGCATCTTAGCTAGAGCCACTCCATCCTGACTCTTCCTTATTAAACAAACTCCCAAAGGAGAAATTTGGGTTCCTGGCTTGTTTGAAAGTTAAGATGAGATCCTCTCCAGTTTTCAACCAGATAAATGTGCTGATTGGACCATTGTGAGCCCTGAGATAATTTAAAAAGTCTCATCACCAAAGAAGGTCCTAGAGTGTTGCGCTGTATTTTGTCATATATCTCCTTCCCCTTTGTAAGTTCTTATTAAGGGATTTTTTTTTCAAATATGAAGAAATTAGGAGGGAACTAACTTAAAAACCAAGACTGTCACCAGGGTTAAGGAGTTTAGGAAAAATATATCCTAGTTGGATATATTTTTGATCCTAGCTTCAGTTCTGGTAACTTTATGGTATAACCAGACACCCTTCTGAATGACAGTTAAAAAAAGTGGTTTGCTGGAATCTTTCTTCCAGGACATTTCTCAACAACTTCCTTATCTAATTTACCTCATTCCAAATTGGGTTTTGGTCCTTCTGCACAACTCTTGTGCTTCTTTCAATGCCTAGGTGAAAAAATAATAATTCTGGGTTAATTCCAACTGTTTCCTGATGCTTTGCCTCCACAAGCTATTCACGCTGATCGATCGATCTCTATCTTCTTTCAAAAACAAGTTAAATACATATAAAAGTCAGCTTTCTGAAATAAAGGATGGTCCTTTGTAAGAAAGGATGTATGATCCCTGCCATGATACAATTAGTGCATATTTTGCAAAATGCAAATAGGGCTGTTTGCATACTTCCCCTGCTCTCCGTAGAAGCAGGAAATGGCTATTTTCTTAAATTTTATCCTCCTTGGCATTTCCCCAATTTGCATTCATAATCAGAAGTTTTTTTTTTACTGAAAATATAGACAGATTGGCTTTTTTAAGTTCCCCAAAAGTAGGGTATGGACATAAACTATTTTAATATGTAAGAGCAAATGGGATTCGGATATGGTTTTACCTCTGAAGGTACCAACCACAAATGTGTTGGGTTGAATCGCAAGTTCAGGAGACACGTGAGCCGACAGAACAACAATATGCAGCATCTTTGGTTCTACTTGGCTGTTTTATCTCTCAAAAATATATTACTGAGCAATTTTCATGACCCTCTCTCTTTCTGGAGCCCAGTGGCCTGTGACTATTGAAGACCGCGCATCAACTCTACAACTTCTTCACTCCAGGATCCACTTGAAGTCTTTTTCAGAAGGTCCAGTGGAAACGATTCTGGAAGTGGAACTAAGGAAATCCGATGTCACAAAGCAAAGAGCAAGGGGCTATGACAGTGATGGCTAATATTTTTGCCATCGCTTGCCAAAAGCAAAGGGAGCACAGGGGGGTCATGCGCGGCATGCCCACACTCATAATTATATGCGCCCTCCCCCCCATGCATGCAAGCACGACCCCCCGCCCTCCCCCCATGCATGTGCACGATGGACCCTCCCCAGGCTCCAGAGTCTTTCTAGGAGACTGGGGAGGGGGGAATGGCCTCCCCCACC